ACGCCCGTTCCGGAGAGCGTCACCAGCTGGTAGGCCACCAGGTGGATGAACAGGTCCGTCATCGTGCCGTCCAGGCCCTTGAAGGTGAACCGGGCAAGGTCGCCCGAGCGGGTGCTGACACCACTCAGCGGCATCTTGGGCGCGCGCTCTGTCGGAAAGCCGGCAATGAAGCTGTGGCGCAGGTAGCCCACACGGCCGATGTCGATGTTGCGCACCGTGTCGTCGTAGGTCCCCGCAAGGTACTGCAGGCTGCCCAGCTGCATCTGCGACTCCAGGAGGCTGTCCTCCTGCCTGGCCGCGCCGATGGGGGCCACGTCCTGCCCCGGGTTGGCCAGCAAGTGGATCTTAGAGCCCGCGTCGTTGTCCCAAAAAGTCACAAACGCGCCGCGCCACGGTGACGTTGTGCTCCGCGACTCCGTTCGGGACGCTGGACTGCTGCGTGTGCACCGTGGGGTAGCTGAACACGAGCGACCTTCCTGAGAGGAGCACCCGGTTGAAGGACTCTACCAGCGCAGAGTCCAGGACGACCTGGGAGGCCAGAACTCGGACGTTCTGGATCTCAAAGTCGGTGCTCAGCGTGGCTCCGGACGGGTGCGCCCCGGCGTTCTCGGACCACAGCGCAGTCGTGGCGTCCGCGAACTCAATTTCTATCACCAGGTTCAGCTGCGGCGGCAGCATCTTCCCGCAGCGCAGGATGCCCACCATGGTGGGGCGCAGCAGCACGTCCGCGTAGCCGCCCTGGTGCACCGCGCGGGCGATGCGCGGGTCGTTCACTTCGTCGAAACCCTCCATGGCCTTGTTGCGGTTGTACTCTCTGCCCTTCAGCAGGTCATGCACGGCCACGGTGCGGCCGTAGTAGTTGATGTCGTCGCAGCGCTGGCCGTTGGCGAAGACCTGGACGCGCTGGACGAAGCAGGCGGGGTTGGGCGTGGCCGGGGCCAGCGGGTTGGTGCCGTCCGTGTTCCTGACACGGAAGGCGATCTTGATCGACTCGGGGTCGATGAAGGACGTGCCGCTGGTCAGAGGTTGTGGGGGAGAACGAGCTCAGCGAGCTCGGGAAGTACTGCACATCGCGCCGTGCCGTCACGTAGCTGGTGTTGCTCGTCTTCAGCTTGTAGTCCAGGCTCTGCATCAGCTCATCCTGGGCTCCGGCGGTGACTACCTCCATGCTTCTTTACATGTACCACGACACGCATTTTCACTCGTGCGGCGAAGGAGCAAAAACGTACACGGACTGGAATAATATTAGGCAGCCTCGATGTCTCGTGCCAGCTGGTCAAAGCTGGGCGGAGGCAGGCTCCGGCGTGACTGCCCGGAACTGGAGCTTGCCCGCGAGCTCGGCTGAGACTGGGGCAGGGCCACGGGGTTCAGGCCCCAGGAGAAGGGGCGCGGCACGTTGTTGGACTGCGCCTGAACACGGAAGCCAGACTGCGAGGAGGCGCGGCTGCTTGCGGGGCTGCCGGACGTGCTGCTGCCAGTGCGCAGCGTGAAGTGCTGGGGCTGCGTGGCATCGTTCATGCCGTTGGCGGACCGGACGTCCTGCACGGCCGCGTCCTCGCTGCCCTGCTGAGGCCGGAAGAGCGTGTTCTCCAGCACCCAGCCCGTGCCGCGCGCAAGGCCGTAGGCTGCGCCGCCCGCAATGCCCACGGCCAGCCCCGCCGTTGCCGCCGCGCCAACTCCCGCCGCGCCAGCCAACGTTCCAGCAACTCGCCCGCGGTGGGCGCCAGGGCTGCTGCTCCTTCAGCCAGGCCCCCCAGGTCACAGCCGCCGTCTCCTCAACGGCCTGCACGCTCCACCTCCTGCGCGCGCTGATCACTGGGCCGACCTATGATCTGCGGAGGCGGCTGCGCCTGGCCCGGACGGGGCAGCACGTTCAGGCGCACGTACTCAGCTGCGTCCTGAAGCAGCTGAGAGCGGAAAGCCTGCGCGGCTGCAAGTCCCGCTGCCCCTGCGCCTATGAGGTCCGCTGCCGCCTGCGCGCCGTCTGCTCTCTTGTGAGCTGAGGCGCCTCCGGTGGAGCCTCAGCCGGCGCCTCTGCTGGTGCCTCCGCCGGCGCCGTCTCAAGTGGAGGCGGCTTTGGCTTGCGCTTTGGAGCAGCCGGCTCAGTAGGCACCTGCTTCGGTTTGTTCTTGCTCCCAGGGGGCCTGCCCCGCCGTTTCGGTTCCGCCGGCGCAGCGTCCTGCGCAGCGTCCGGCGCAGCGTG